GTTGTAGAACCATGTTAATAGGAAGCTTCAGTGTGGGACGAAGCTTAGACATCAGCAGCTCCTTTTGTGAAAGGGGAGACTGTAGTGGTCAGGTTTGTGGCAGGATGGGTGCTGCTAGATTTTTTCTTCAGTGTCTTACTGGTTTTAGAAAAACTTGAGCAGCCTCAAAACCAGCCATTTTAGGAGAAATAGGAGCATTTGTTCCTGTTAGTTTTTTGTTCAGTCGAATAGGTATAACACTGTGCTTGGTGCAGGTTATAACATTTTAAAACTAAGTTGTATTTGATGATTTAAACTGATACAGGGAAACTCTACCACTGTAATGTCGCACAGACTAGCACTGAGGATCATGGAACCAGCACATCCCTGTCAGTTATGTGTTCTGATGCAAATTTTTCTCTTTTAAGTTGACATGCATATTTTCTAAATATTATTGCACATTGCTTATTTGTGTGAAACTGAGGCTTACACATCAAGAAAGAAACTTGAGGATTTTCATTGACCATTGGTTTTAATAATAAAAGGAAACACAATCATTGCCCCTCCTTAGTAGGTTATTGCTTTTGGTTTTAGTTTTTGTTTTTAATGCTTCTTGTTAAGTTATAATGTGTGTATTCATTACATGTTAATGTTTATGGAATTCAGAAGGCTAAGAGGGCCAGGAGTAATAATCCTGCATTACAAACTACCAGATCATTCAGATTGCCTCTTATTCCCCGTAGTCTGCTCCCACAGATGTTAGAATATCCGCCAATCTTTTTATTTGAACCAAAGAGAAGGTAATGTAAACAGCTTGAATAAATCAGGTGCTAATTCCTGAGCTCAGCGAATATATTATGTAGAATGGAGGTGACTTTCACTGAGAAAAAGTCAGCATTATCTAAAAGCCCAGAGAGTGATTGATTTGTCAACTCCTGCGTTGCTGTAGAATGAATTGCTCCATGTACAGCCACAGAAGTGAGGTTAACCAGGCTGTGGGAAAGAATGGATTTTAATCCACATTTAAGACATGTGGGAACCACACTCTGCTCTCTCCAGCTCACTGTTACCATCAACTATATTATTAATGGTGTTACTACTCAGAGTATAAAGGAGTGAGAAAGTATTTGATGTTTGTTTTTAAAAAATTACATAAGATGTTAGAAATACATGCTATAGATTAATACACCCGGCTGAAGGGTGTATTGTAAATTGAGAGTAGATATGGGCTATTAGGTAAGTAGTCACCCAATATGACTTTAGCCAGGGTTAGCATTAAAAGAAAACCAGGGTGTAAATGGAGAAGAAAGTGTGTCTATCTGTTATCAGAGAGAGGGCAGTTTTTGAGCCCCAAATAGAGCTGAGGTTTAGGGTTTAGGTTGCATAATAAATTTTATTAATTTTAATTCCATTGATGTATATAATAGAGAAGGCCTAGGACTTGGACTGAAGATCTTCTCCCTTGCTAGGATTTCCCTGTTGAGATGATATTTTTAAAGTCATCAGACATTATTAATTTTGAAAATTTATAATACAGGGAATCTTTTAGTCACCCCATGTAAATAATTGCTTCCCACTCTCCTGGCCTCAGGATCTCCATGTCTGGGCCATAGATTCCACTGCATGTCCTTCTTCCTGAGACAGAAGAGAGGAAAGGAAAGCATCTGCCAAACTCAAACCTCCACGGGGACACTTTGAGCAACACAGCAGACTTGTACCCAAGTTCTAGCTGTGAAGCAATTGAGAGGAAAAAGGCATTTCTCTACTATAATTAGGTAAATAAAGGCTTCCAGTGAGCAAAAATATCTGTAAATTGGGGTTTTTAAAAATATCTTTATTGATTTTTTTAGAGAAAGGGGAAGGGAGAGGGAGAGAGAGAAACATCGATGTGAGAGCAAAACATCAATCCTATCAGCCGCCTCCTGTACATCCCCCAGCAGGAATTGAGCCTGCAACCCCCACAGGTGACCCGACGGGGAATCGAACCAATAACCCTTTGGTGCCTGGGATGGTGCTCAACCAACTGAGCCACACCAGCCAGGCTGTAAATTGGGTTTTATAAGTCATTCACACCTGATTACTAAGTTGGCCCACTGACTCACTTAGTGACCATTTCCCCTCTAACAATGGTAGTACTATGCCACATTTTAAATTATTATTTCCTATTAACAACAAATGTGATTAAGTAGAATTAATATCCCATTTTACAGTGCAGGGCACGAAGGCTTAGCAAAGTTAAGTTACTCCCCCAAGGGCACACCGATATTTGAAGGCAGGCCTGTCCGACTTCAGAGCTATTTCCCATCATCTCATTATTGTGTTACTCCTTCGGTGTGTCCCCTGTGAGCCGCTGTGGGGGATACAAAAGTGAATATGAGGTGGTCTCCGCTCCAAAGTAACATACCCCCTGGTGAGATGAGGCACACGCCTGCAAAACTAAAATACAAAAGGGAATGTGGTCAGTGACATGCCGCAGGCGTTTTGTGACAGGAATACTCAGGGAAGGCTTCACTGAAGTGATACTGAGGGGAAAGAAGGACCAGGATATTCATATTTTTAAATAAAGATGGAGGGTGTTGGGGGGAGAAGATGCTGTGAACAAAGCGTGAGAAAGTGTGACCAGCTGCCACAAGCAGCAGGTGGTCCGGGTGTTGGCTGTAGACCCTGTGTAGGGTGAGCAGAAGATAAGCTGCCACGGTAGAGTTAGGGGCAGTACTTGGACACCTTTGCAAGGACACATAAAAGAGCCCAGAAGCATGGTGACATTTCCACCCAAACCTAAAGTAGATCTCAAAGAGAAGGGAAAGTCAGACGAAAAATATTTTCCTTTGCGACACATACTTAGCCTTCCCTTAGGGCTAGAATTCTAGTCCATTCCCTTTGCCTTGGAGCTGGGAAGGCAGAGGCCCAGAGGGCAGAGGAGCTTCTCCAAAGTCATACAGCTCACAGTGGCAGATGGACACCAGGCTTGAGTCAGACATCAGACACGTCCCTTTCAGGTAGGCAGTATTTCCATTCAGCACCCACCGATTTCCATTGCTTCAGATGCAAGGGCAAGTAGTTGTCCCAGAATTTGAATAGTATCACTTGGAGCATTAACTGAGCTTGTCAGATGTAGAAGCCAAATCCTGAAAAGGGGTTTAATGACCTGAACATACAAATACCACTCTCACTGTAGACTGGTGTGTTTAGCCATAGGTTTTTCTTTTTTAGGGTACATCTATGTGTGAACATACATAATAAATATACATATATGTATAAGTATACATAAATATACGTGTGTGTACACTGTGTATACACACAAATACACACATATCTACACATACATATATTTTAACTTACTTTGTTCCCTGCATTTAAACTAAAACTTTCCACTCTCTTGTTGAAGTCTGTTAACCTGAATAGTGTTCTAGGCAAAATGCTGTAGGCGACCTCACCTGCCCCTGCCCATTGCCATCAAGCTGCCACCAGAGATTCATTTAGGGCACGATCATCGGCTCCCAGCTCTTCTCCCCTTGGCTTTCCGTCAGCTTTTCAGGGGCAGCCCTTGGCCACCTCACCGTTCATTCAGCTCCTCCTGTGGAGCATGAGATGAACGAAGGCCCTGGACACTCAGTAAATGGCAGCTTGAATTTCATTCATTTGCCTTTCCGAGTTTTCACTTTTGCTCTGAAATGAGGAAGACACGCTGGTTTTCCTGTTGCTCCTGCCTCCTTGGCAGGATAAGCAAGAGTTGGCTCTACTGTCCCATCTCCGAGGGAGGACCTTTCCCTCTGCCGTTCGTATGTGAAGCTATTTCTTTTGTAGAATCATCACTCTATCTGCTTATTTTGTTTTTATTGTCATTCTCTTACTAGAGTGCAAGTTCCTCGTGGGCAGGGACAGCCGGTGGTTGCAGAAATTAAGTTCCTGACTCGGTTTTGCTTTTTCCCTTGTCGTCTTCCACTCTTTTTCCTCCTGCGCTACACAGCCCATCTTCTCATCTTCCATTTGTTCACTCTAATGAAGGAATAAGTGAGGTACCTTTCAATTACCACTTTTATTTTTTCCACAATGCATTTAAAATCCCTCTCCTTCAACTACTCTGGGTCTTCAACTCAACAGAAATTAATTTTTTATTCATAATACTGAGAATATCCTCTAACCGGGTCCTGATGGTGTATGTATATATGTGTATGTGTGTCTATATTTTTACTTATATTATGTTGTGTATCTATAATTCTAAAAGGCCCACTCCTCATCCCCAATAGACGACTTTAGGGCTTATTATGGATGATGACTTTCTTTTATTTACAGATTTATTTAATATTTTGGTTCTTTTAGAAAAGTATTTTTATTTACAATGAAAGTTTATAATTTAGATTACACTTAAGTGCTTTTAAAATATATATGTTTTTATTGATTTCAGAGAGAGGAAGGGAGAGAGAGAGTTGAAACATCAATGATGAGAGAGTCATTGATCAGTCGCCTCCTGCATGCTTCTGACTGGGGATCGAGCCCGCAGCCCCGGCATGTGCCCTGACCAGGAATCGAACCTCGATCTCCTGGATCCTAGGTCGATGCTCAACCACTGAGCCATGCCCAGCTGGGCTTAAATGCTTTTCAAATGTCAGTGTAATAATGTGTTTGCTGCTTCCCTTATAAATAAGCCAATAAAAATATCCAAATAGCAAAAAATATCTGATTTTAAAAAGTAAATCTTATAAAATGTATGTATTTAAGCATCAAATTTTTAATTGAATTGTGTTGTCATTAATAAATTAAGATAAACCTGTGCTTCCTTTTCTTTGAAAGAAAAAAGATAAGCCATTAATTAGATGTTTAGCTATCCCACAGTCAGCTAGTGTTCCCTAATTCCTCAGATAAAATTTGCCTGGAATGTGAAAACAGTGCCCTTTGCTATAGCAATAGAATTTGGAATAGTATCAATCCATAATGGATTTACACCCACCACTTTTCAAAGGCAGTATGATCTCTTCAGATAAATAATGGAAAATACCACAGGGTCCCACACTGTCTGGGCACTGGGCACTGTCTTGAGGCTGCTCAAGGGAGAAAATATACTCTTGTTTTTCTAGAGGCCCACAAATGGTTTCATCGTGTGATTTCCCATTTCCAGTTCCTGTGTCAAGTCCTCTGCAGCCTCTCTTTCTAGTAGGAAGCTCATTATAGAGAGGGTCCCATTTTCTAGGCCAATCGGCCAGTTAGTTTCCAATTGATGGCCGGTGCCCCTGATTTGAAACTTCAGTAGAGCAACTGAAATTTTTTTCAAGTAAAATATTGATATAATTCACCACAAATCAAAATTAGGCTCTCATCAAAAGCAACTGAAATTTTTTCAGTGTCATTTTAGAATGTGCACGAAATGCAGGAAACGTTGAGCAATTTGCTGCTGTTGTTGATGGCCGTTTAGATGAAAAGTGTTTTGTTTAGGAAACTGTGGTTTGAACAGAGAACTGTGATGATTTTGTACGTTTCCCTCCTCACCAATAGTGTACTTCTTATTTATTACAGGGTTTCTTCAAGCAAGAATTAACTTTCATTAGCAAATTCATTGACACTGTTCCAAATAAACCACTTTTCTCTTATTATTCCAAGAGAAGACGGCAGAGTCACAAATTTAAGATGATGGAGTAGTGTTTCATTACAGGTACCCACACCCCCTCCCCCCACAGGCAGGAGGCCGCCCCTGCTGAATGGCTTCTTCCAACAAGGCACAAGACAGGGGCTCGCTTTTATTCGGTGGCAGAGACGTGATCCATTTTGAACAATTTACATTCTGGTTCAAGCTAGAGAACGAATGTTCAATAATAAGAGTGATCGTAATTGCCTTAAAGAAGCTTACTGCTGTGAACTCAGCCATAAACTCCACTCTGCAGCATACTGATAAATGGCAGTGAGAGGAAATACTGAAATAGAAAATGTGTAAATAGCTCTTACTATGAAGTCAGATTCTCCCAGCGCTTAAGCCAGTCATTCAACTTACTGTCATTTCCCTTATTAGCCTATAAATTCCTCCTGCAGGAACTCCTTTTGGAACACTAGCAAAAAAGTTGTGATTAAGAAAACAGAAACAAATATAAAAAATGCTGTCTGTGCTCGTAGTTATTAAAAACAGGAGATGGTGATCAGTATGTTCCCCTGAGTCTTGAAAAAGCCTGTAAAATGCAGCACATCTTTTCAGTAGTGAGTTGAGACTTTTCATCAGAAGCAAGAAAACTAGGTCTAATGTTATGAAGAAAAAAAGCAAAACATTCCCGTAATTAAACCTAAGCTTATTAGTTCCATGATTCAGGACAGGAGTTAAAAACAAGCAGCACTAGAAATCCCTGAACATAGGGTTCAGATGGTAGAGAGGGCGTGGCTCTAACTCTTATTCAAAGAGTAGGAACAGAAGGATGGGATTCAAGAAAGCGAATGGCATCTGCCTCGGGTGCACTCGAGATGCCTCCACTCAAGGCGCCAGAATAAGGAGATGAGGGAAATTAAGAGGAAGAAAGGCTCTGTGAATCCAAAAGGCCTGAAACTCAGATGAGAAACAGGCCCT